GGAAGTGGGATGGTGAACGTTAAGTTGGAAGCCCGTGTTCGTGAACTAAGAGGGAAGACAGCTGTTAAGAAGGGGACACCCAAGAAGGCCATCAGTGTAGTTGCTACAGAGACACGAGAAGGCAAACAGCGATCTCCCAGATGTAAAACTAAAATCACCTCCCTTGATCCTGGTGAGGGGACATCTGGTCTGTCACCGCGAGGGTCAGACAGTGAATACTCTGACCAGGAACAGGGTCAGAGTAGGTCCCAATAGAGGGTCCCTGCCTTCGGCCAGGAGGAGGAAAGGGATGAACCGGTATACTGGACTGTGTGGATTCGATGGCCTGGCACATCAGACCCACAGAAGTATAAGGCTTTGGTAGACACTGGTGCACAGTGTACACTGATACCATCAGGGTATAGGGGCACAGAACCCATCCGGATCTCTGGAGTGACAGGGGGATGCCAAGAACTGTCCGTACTGGAGGCGGAGGTGAGCTTAACAGGGGACAAGTGGGAGAAGCACTCCATTGTGACTGGCCCGGAGGCCCCTTGTATCCTTGGCATAGATTACCTCAGGAGAGGGTACTTCAAGGACCCAAAGGGGTACCGATGGGCTTTCGGTGTAGCCACTGTGAACACAGAGAAGATCAAACAGTTATCTACCCTGTCTGGTCTCTCAGAAGATCCCTTTGCTGTGGGATTGCCACAAGTTGAAGAACAACAGGTGCCAATTGCTACCAGGACAGTGCACCGGCAGCAATATCGCACAAATCGAGACTCCCTGGCTCCCATCCATGAGCTGATTCATCAACTGGAGAACCAGGGAGTCATCAGCAAGACTCATTCACCCTTTAATAGTCCCATATGGCCAGTGTAAAAGTCTGATGGAGGGTGGAAGTTAACGGTAGACTATCGTGGCTTGAACGAAGTGACGCCACCACCGAGTGCTGCTGTACCAGACATGTTAGAGCTCCAATATGAATTGGAGTCAAAAGCAGCCAAGTGGTATGCTACAATTGACATCGCCAATGCATTCTTCTCAATTCCTTTGGCAGTCGAATGCAGGCCACAGTTTGCTTTCACCTGGAGAGGTGTTCAATACATCTGGAATCAACTGCCCCAGGGGTGGAAGCATAGTCCTACTATTTGTCATGGACTAATACAAACTGCACTGGAAAAGGGTGGTGCCCCTGAACATCTAACATCTACAATACATCGATGACATCATTGTGTGGGGCAATAAGGCAGAAGAAGTATTTGAGAAGGGAAAAAGAGTAATTCCGATTCTTCTGAAAGCTGGTTTTGCCATAAAGAAAAGCAAGGTCAAAGGACCTGCACAAGAGATCCAGTTCTTGGGAATAAAATGGCAGGATGGAGGCTGTCATGTACCTATGGATGTGGTCAACAAGATAGCAGCTATGTCTCCACCAGCTAACAAGGAGACACAAGCCTTCCTGGGCCTTGTGGGGTTCTGGAGAATGCATATTATTGTCAAGAATTACCACAGTCATCTAAAAGTATCCCTTCCCCAAACAAAATGAATGTGTGAGCACAGCCTATGCAGCAAGCCCTTCCTGCACTGTATAAGGAATTCCAGTGCAATTCAAGTAGTCATTAAGCCAAATGTTTCCTGTTAGTTTTGCCTTTCTACTAAGAAAAGAATCTCTGGCTATGAAAGAGGCGCATCTTAGAAAAGAGACTTCCAGAAGTGGTCACAAAAAGGGAGAATCCAAATGAAAGTTCTCTCTTGCAGAACAGGAAGGGGAAAAAAAATACATGAAGAGGTGTCTGGGCAAAGAGCAGAAAGCATCAGAGGGTCAAAATCCCCTAAGGACATGAGGGAAATACCGGAGGATTTTAAAAAAAGCCCTACTAGCTTTAATGTTCCCACACAAGTAAATCACAAGAGACAGTCTGGGCACTAATTTACATAGGAGCTTCAGAATGAGACAAGCCTCATGTGACTTTATGGTTATGAGTAATGGGCACAGAAAGCCGCAGAGAAAAATCAGTGGGATCTGGGGCATTTCATCTGAAATCCTTCCTCTGTGCAGACGTTGCAGTTAACAGCAACAGGAGTTAACCAACGTCCCGACACTGAAGGTGTCATGATGGAGGCTCTGCCTTTTCAGCATGCAGGGGTTGGATGCCATGAGCTGCCTCCATTTTCTGGTGGAAACATCCCTCCCAGTCTGTGCCTGCTCTTTCAGCACCAAGGCGTCCGCCTGGTGCACAAGTTCGATGAATCGGGCAGGCATGTGAGTTGCATGAGTTGTAAAGAAAGGGGAAGGAGGGTATGGATAAACAGAGAGTCAGATTTTTTAAAAGAGGAGCATGCTGTATAGATGGGGTTGGTAGATCCAGCAGGCTGTGCTCTGGGGGAAGGAGGCTGACTTCTAGGTTGCATGCTCTGACAGGAGTGGTACGTGGGTCCACAGGGAGCTGGGCTAAACTGTAAGGAGAGCTGTGAACGTGAGGAAGGTGGACAGGCATCCAGGAACATGGGCTACAGAGCTGAGTGAATTACAAGGACTAGCTAACGTGTGGCAAAAGTACTCAGGAACTTAACGTCTCCATGGTTTCAGCTGGGACAGCACTGAAGCATATGCTGAGGTGTGCTCCTGAACAGCCAGAAGGGATTGAAGAGTTAACCAGGATAAAGAGCAGCTGATCTGGAGGTCAGCCTCTTCAGAAAGGGTCCTCTTTCCTGACTGCACAGGGATGTTTACAGCCCCAACTCATTTTATTCCTTAAGGTCACGGGCAACACCAGGAAGCCATGGTAGCGTACAGTACTGCCTGTCTAGGCAGAGATCTGAAACACCCGAATGCCAGCACAGGCATACTCATGCCATGCAGAGGGAGCATTACAGTGCAGAAATACCCTGGCAGGAGGGCTGGGTTAGCTGAGTTTGGGATGAAAAGAAAACACCACTTTCAAGTACTTTTTCAAGTAGCAGTTGGCAACTTGCTTTTCAGGAACTATCGAGCAGCCCAGATGCCAAGACCAAAAGGTGAGGGGCTTCCCTGCTGCCCTGGTGAGGGGGGCCTGTGTCCTCAGGGCCGCATGCATGGCTGGGCAGAGGTGGGGATCACCTGCTGCCATCACCACCGCCCAAGGTGGCACTCAAGCAACATCAGTTGGGAATCCCTGGCATCACTGATGGATGAATGAAAAAAGCAAAGTCAAGTCAGTCTAAGCTTAGCTTCTCTTGCAGCCTGGTCCTGACCATCCTTAGTTTCCCACACCCATAGTTCTGGGGACTGAAGATACTCTGCACCCAGAGGAGCCGACTCCTTATGCGCACTGACTGCGTGGGTCTCTCACAGTACCAAGAGCTCTTCCTGAGAGGACAATGTCATAAGGTGGAAGCACGCAGAGACTTAGAGCAAGTTATCACCTCCTCAAAGCACTTGACTGCATCATCTGAACCAGGGAGCACGTGGTAACATCCATGCTGAGCGGTGGTCCTGAAGAAATGCTTTCTTCAGTGGGTGTCCCATGCTCAATTGTGCTCTTTCTCATCAATACAAAATAGCAAAATCAATCATTCAATTTATTTCTTTGTATCAGAGAATGTTTTTCAATTATACATTTAAGTTTGTAACTTTCAACACAAGAGTAAATACACATAAAAAAGTCCTAGCTGTGCAAATTTCAAGTTGCATTGTTTCAAATAATATAAATATCTTAATAAAACATATGTTCACATTAAGGTTCACAAAATATATAAAATTTAACAGAAATAAGTCATGAGTTATTTAATATTTTTTTTCTTTTTAAAAACTGTTTTTTTAGTAACTAGAAAAAGATTCTATACTTGAGAAGCAACTTAGAAGAGGTATCACCTCCAAAATCATAGCAGCAAAACAGATGCCGAAAACTTAAAAGATGTCAAAGGAGAAGAGAAAAGCAGGTACCAGGCACAACGGTAAAGGTAAGGTCACTAAACACAGTATTCAGATAGCAAAGTGGATGCATGAACTCCAGGAGTAAAATCTTGACTCCAAAGCACTCCATTAATGAGGTCCAAGCTGCTTGCATGATAACAGAATCACATTAAGAATAACAGAAAGAAGGGTGACAGAAATGGGGAGGGGGGGTACAAGGAGCAGCACACATATTCCTGACAGTTACAAGGCAAGAGAAGAGAAAGGTGCTCTAGTTTCAGAGCTGAAGTCAAAGACAGAGGACTTTGGGGTTTTTCTGTCTGTTGGAGGCAATTCCTTCCATACGAGTGGGGAATGGCAGGATTCAGTTTTCCCATCACACGTATATGCTCATGAAAGTCGCTTCTGTAATCACCTCTCTTTCCAGCTGTCTTGGGATCTGGGAAAAGATCTAAATGCTGGCCAAGTTAAGCATGTTAAAGGAGCCGACCACTGCTGGTCTTTGTTTCTGGCTGCGGCTTGCTGAGGGCTCGGCAAACACAGAGCCGCTGGCCGCTAACACCCTGAACGCCTGCGGGAGCTCCCGCCTTGACGAGCTCCGTAAGAACACCAGCAAGGACGTGGGCAACCCAAAGCAAGTTTCTTCAAACATCAACTGCAAGTTGCATCAGCATGTCCTGGGGGATCCCTCTCAGGAAAGACTTGCCTCTGACTGATGTATGCAAACACAAAGAGCTCCCGCACCTCCGACAGTAGCCGCGGCTCCTCGCCCGGGAGCAGGGGAGGTACTGAGAAGAGGCAGAACCGGGAAGTTCTTTGGACTCAAATGCTTCACACTTCCTCCTGGGAAGTCCAAGAATTAAATATGGCATTGTAGGAGCTTAGTCATGAATGACAGCTCTGTGCAGAAGGCAACCTGCCCTTCTTAGCAGTCCTTGTATGCAGTGTTTAGAGGAAGTAGACCTTTATTCCCATTCTTGGGAATAAACAAGAACATGAGCAGGCAGCTTGTATTTCCCCCTGCCCTCCCACTCCCAGGACTGTTAAGTGTTTTGGACATAGCACCGTTTCAGTGAAGGAAGTAGCTGGTATTGCTTTCTTGTTCTTCACCAACTCCTCCCCTCTGCTAGCTATAGATCTGTTTGAACTGGTAGCATTCATTGCAGTAGCCGTTGCACTTGGCATTGCCATAGTGATCACAAGCAGGGGCTCGGCAGCGCTGTTTCGGGGGATCTTCTGCAGCCAGGTCCCTGGCACTTCCCAACGGCATGAGCTGATCGAGGCGCTGGCACTCGGGGCACAAGTCACCACTTCTGCAGGCCAGGCTGTTTCTACACGAAGCCACAGCACACTGTCTCTTCTGGCTACTCAACACTCCTCGCTGCAAATCTCTCTGCTGTCCTGTTCTCTTGAAAAACGTTAAAACACATTGTCAGTTGCCATGCTGGCAGCACAAGCGGCTTTTTATTTACTTTCAACTCTGCTCATGGTTTCTATAGGTAACCACTGGGGGTTGCTGCAGACACGTGCTTCTTCTGAAAAGTACAATACCAAGAGCCAAGCTGGGCTTTACCGAAGAAAATCACAAATTCTGTCATTTCTTAGAAAAAAAAATAAATGTTTTTTATCTTTGGTAACTCTCAATTCTAAGAGTCAAAATGAACTAAATCAAAAAAAAATCTGGAACAAAGAAAGTCTGTAATGGGCTCAATGAAAAAGGCAACATGAAGTGGACTAAATCCTTTGATGCAGTTGCATAGCTCTAAGAGTAGAATGAAAATCTCTCCCTGATGAGCAAACCAACTGTTGGCCCAATCGCTTCCACTGAAATTGCTGGCAAAATCCCAGCTGCAGTAAAACTGAAGAGAGCCATGATAACCCTAAACTGAGAACGACTTTTAGGAGCGCTGCTCAGTTGCAGCAGGAAAAAAAATCATAAAATACTCTACGCTTGTCTTTCCATGATACTTAAGATACAGTCATTTAAGGATTTTCTAGTACGCATCCTGAGTTGTGCACACAGGAGAAAAACATGCAGCGCTAAACAAGAGGAAGATTTTGAGAAGTTTGCACTTACTTCTGGCTGTCTGACCAGCTGTTCTTCTGTCCTCCTGGCTTCCTGAAATCGTTGGTTCTGGGCTTTAATGAAGCAGTTCTGGCAGTACCCTTCGAGCATCGTGCTGCCCAGGGTGCCGCAGTCACGCCGCTGGCAGGACACGGTGTTACGGAAGGCGGCAGCGGAGGTCCCCAGCTGACCTGCTGCCAAGGGCTTCCTCTGAGATCTCCTCTGGTGGCGTAGCAAAGTGCTGTCTGTAATGCAAAGTAAGGACAGGAGGAGTTTGAATGTGCCCAATAGATCTGGTGACCCAAAGCAACTATGAAAAGCTCCCCAGTTTAAAAACAAATATCTACTAGTCTCAAACATAGGTTTTGGACAATCCTGAGCCCCCTCAGTTGATGCACTTTCCTCCATGTTGCATAATTAAGGGCGTTAATACAGCCTGATTTTCATATCAGAAGCTGTTGAAACAGCTGATTTGGGAAAAAACTTGCCCTTGGTGGGGAAACTAGGTCCCACTGAAGCCAAGAGGAATATCACCTGTGGCTTCAGCATGCCATCTGTGATCTACTCCAACACTTCCCTCTCGGCCTTCCCCATTTCAGGCCCATTGGGTAATGCAAGTACAGTGGCACAGAGCTTAATGGGAAAAAGTGCCTATGCTTTTGAGTCTCATGAAGCAATCTTATATATTCCACAATCAGAAGGAAAAAAAAAAAACATTGTGAACAACACTGGAAAATAAGCTATTGCAAGCTGGCACAGAAGTTCCCTAATTTGAAAGTATGTGGAAAGTGCAGCATTGGCACACTTGTCAGCAATTAAACAGTCTTAAGAGACAGGCAATAATTCTCTCTTTCAGCCTCTGTGGCTCGTTGCCTGTGTAACGGGGCAGTAGCATGAAAGATGAAGATTTTATGCTGTGGTTTATTCACAGACTATTACCTTTTTGAAGGCCTGCCTTTAAACACACGCATGCATGCATGCATATGATGCTACCAAGAACGACTTCAAGGTGGATTATAAATGCACTCCTAAGTTACTCCAAAATACAAGCACATTACCTACAGTCAACTTCTACTTGCTATGCTTATCAAGGTGACTTCAGTAGTTACTCCAGGTGTCATACCTGTGATATCCAGAACGGATATGGATCTTCAAATTTACCCCAAGCTTTTTAAAAGCCTTGCTAACATAACTGGTTTTCAGTAGCATCAATACAATAGCATTTCCCTCACCGACCCCTACAACTTGTCCAAACCATGATTGCAGTGGACAGTAGAGAGGGATCAGAAACCAACCCCTCCTGAGCTAGTTTTGCTTCCATGAAAGCTCATGGGAGTTTTTAGAAGAGATCTCACAGATTTCCCACACTGTTACCATGTGCCCCTTTACAGGATAATAATGTCCAAAAAAGCACCTCCTCTGCTGCTTCTGCTCCACACCTTTTCCATCACCCCCTGCCTTTTTAGCGCCCAGTGTTTGCAGAGCTTCATGGCTCAAGGAGGCCCATCTGCAGCCAAAGCATGCCAAAGCTCACCCCATCTCCACTTACCGTGGTTTTCCTTGTACTCAAAGAAACACAGTGTGCAAAAGCCCTCATTCTGCGAAGTCCCAAAAAACTTGCAGCCAGGTTTCCTGCAGAGGTCACCTCCCCTCTTCTCCTTGGGAGGCAGCACTGCTGGCAGGGGCTCCTCGCCACGGCTGTTGGGAGCCTGATGGCAGGAGTGCTGGAGGAGGCTCTGCGAGATCTGGGACGGGTCAGACGTTGATCTTTGGTGGCACGTGGACAGGAAAGCAGGGCTGCCATTTGAGGAGTGTTCTGTAGTCCTTTTGAAGCAAGTGCTGCATGTGCCATTGAAGGTCCTGTTGGCCTTCTGACGGCATACCTTGCACGTGGCATAGTCTAAACGTCTCCGGTCATCCAATTTGTTGCAAGGACCGAGCTGTCTAGAGTTGTAGCAGCGTTCACAAAGCCCATTGTGTTGCACGTTCAATGTAAAGGGGCAGTCTGGTGTCTTGCATTTCATGGCCGTGGTCTCGCTGTACAGGAAAAGGCTCGGAGCAGTTGGCGGTGCAGACCGAGGCCCTGTTACAGGCTCTTCAGACGTCCATCCCCCAGGTTCACAAACATCCCCACGGGAGGAGCCCAACCCAGCTGCCTTCAGTTTCTCAGGTGCTGCTTTGGAGGTCTGCTTCCTTCCTTTGCTTCCCTGGGACCTCCGCTCAAAGCACTCATGGCAGTAGGGCTGGGTGTTCACAGACATGTAGAAAGGGCAGTTTGGTGTTTCACATTTCACCTGTAAGAGGGACAGCTGGGAGACAGTCAGTTCCTGCCTGTTCCTGGAGCAGGTCTCTCTCCTAGCAGGTTCAGCGTTCTCCTGCCACTTCTTGTACTCATGCTGTACCAGTTGAAAGTAATCTTCCACAAGGTTGATTTCTTTGGGTATGTTGCCTTCATCTAACCTGGCAGGCAAAAAAAGGAAGATTGCATCAGTGGTTGAAAAGGGCAGATGGTGGGGGTGGAGGCAAATACAAGCAACGTGGGGAGGAAATGTAGATTTAATGCACATCCATATTACTCAACTAGAAGATTCAGGATGTTAAATGGTTGCTGTAAATGGAAATAATTTTAAAAGCAGGTGTTCGGTGATGTCAAATGGAGACTTTCACATCTAAAGAAATGGTCTGACGCAATGCTGAACAAAAGGATTCTTAAAAGGATTTTCTAGGTGAGGGTTTTCTGTCTGAAAGCTGTTTACAGGAAGAATATGGATAATCTCTCAAAAACGAAAAGAAAAATCCTCCCAATCCTGAATTCCTCAGCTGAGCTGAGGGTAGAGTGGAAGACCCCTCTCTTCACCAGCCCACACTAAGAACGAGCCTTTCCTACACTGGGCTTAGCATTTCATGATACAGTTTATCATGAAATCTGCTCCTGGTTTTGCCCTGTTTTGGTTTGTATCTACCAGTGGAATTCCTCAAACAAACTACGGGGCTTCAGTGGGGTGTGTGTAACACTAGCATCCATCACACCATCCCTACTCTGTCCCTAACCACAGGGAAAACCCCACACCAGAGCTTCACCGTGCTACAGTTGGAAGGATGAGGAGCTAGCATTACTGGTAATACTCAAGAACACATTCGTGCAGTGGGACTAGGGAAGCTGGATTGCTACTCTTTCTGTATGCATACATCCTTTGAGTAGGAGGACTTCAATTTTCAAGGCTCCAAAACCACTCCTCCCTGTGCAGTAATGGAAGTAGAGACAGAGGACACAGGGAGTCGCTTCCCTCCCGCACTCACAAAGGGGCTGGGTGGACACCGCTGCCAGCATTCCCTAAATGCAAGGAGAAGCTGATGGGTGCTGCCAGCTGCCCCCTGCACGTAACTGATGCTCAGCCGTCAGGGGGATGACCGCAGATGCCAGTTCCTCCACCAGCCACAGCTTCCTGCCTACTGCCACACTGCAACAGCCCAGTGTGCCAAGGCATCTGCGCTAAGAACGCGCCACCAAGTCCTGTCCCTAGGGCAGCCAAAATTACACCAACTGCCCTTTACGCAATATGCCCTTACATAAAGTGCAAGAGTTTGGTCTAACTGCTTCCTGGGTTTAACTACTTTTCAGCCACCCTCCTGTATAATCTAAAAGTCAGTGAAACTAATCCATTGAGTTTACTCTTCTAAAATATTAGTTTCAGTCTGCCAAGTCTGAAGACATTTTTCCCTTTAAATTTGAAACTGGTTTGAACTCACAACACTTCAAAGCATGTCAACAAGAATGCCATTATTTCACATTGCAGAGGGTAAACACAGGTGCTACTGTAGAAGGACGGAAGGAACACACTAGGATGCCTGGCATCTCCCACCACTGTAAACAAGGTAACTTTGCAGAAACAGGAATGACACTCACTTTGCAGCATTAATTAGATGAGTTGTACCATGATCCCAGCCTTGCACTGGAATTTCTATCACTATCAAGTAGTCTTTTAGCAGCTGCTCTTTCTCCCTCTCCTCCACGTCTGTCAGAAAGTGCACGCTCAAGTCCTCAAATCTGCCTCGTTCACTGGTGACCAGAGGGACAGCCCGGATTTCTGCGGGGAAACAAGGTGTGTTAACAACTATGTATATTTTGCCAGGCAGCAGTAACCACAAGATGCAACACATGGAGATGTCACCACCGCTGCTGAATTTCAGAGATGAGAACCACAGGCAAGAGCAACCAGTTTCTAAAGAGCCACTGGGGGAAGACACAGACACATCTGCACCACAAATCCAGCCCCATTCCATGGGAGTTTTAATGTCCCTATAGCAATTTTCTTCTCAGTGTGGGCAGCACTGTAGATCTTAGTTTGTTATACCTTTCCATGGGATGATGCCCTAACCCGAACCTAGAGAACTGCTACCCATTCAGAAGAGATGCATTAAAAACAGCAAAGCATGTATCTCATTATCCCTGCCAGGCAGTGGTACACTGCTGTGAGACCATGTCCTTCAAAACTTCTTCTCTTACAATGGGGCATGGAAAGGAGGCCGGAACACAATGAAGCAGAGGCCACCCTTTGATTGATCCCAGCCTGCAAACAGGTGAGTCGTATTCTACTTTCAACCGGCATTTTGAAGACAACCTTTATTTTCTATTCAGATTTACAGTCAAAACTGTTTCTAATCACATTTTAAGTGCGTATTCCAAAGGAATCTTTTACATTTATTTTAACTTTTGAAATGCAAATCTAAACCAGATTATATTGTAAATGCTTTATCAGCATGATGATCTCGAAGAAGCTACATAAATACCAAAGAAGGTACTTGAAAAATACCTGGTCCACTATCCTTCAGAGTCACTAGTGGTGTAAAATGCATGTTGTCGTAGCCAAGCACAATTGGGTATCTGTAACATTCTTCAGCTGGCCAAAGGAGAGGCAAGTAAATACCACCAACGTTCAGAGGAGCAAAACTGGAGCCTGACTCTAAGCTTCTCACCACTTTATCTGCATAAGGAAGATGAAGAAAACACAAATAAACACAAATAAGTATTTGCTACAGACAAGAGAAAACATATTCTGGGTGTTTTAGAACAACTGCTGAAAACGCCCAGTTCTGAAATGTATCTACCTGAGAACAACTATGAGCAAAATAAGAGTACTAACACAGCAGAGTAACATGGTCCGTAACGTGAGATGACTGGCTGGGCAACCCACCTGCAAGGACAATGACTGGCCTTCTGAGGATGTTAGCAAGGATGAAGATGTGGATTTCTTCCAGTGCATTATATGGAAGCCTGTTTCGAGCCCCAGATGTTTCTGGGGAGGTCATTTCAATGAGGCGTTCCCACTCCTCCTCCCAGTTCTGAGGAAAGAAACATCCGTCAGCAACGGTTCAAAGACATGGAGGTCAGGAACCAACTGCAGCACAGCAATGCTCAATATAATCATATCTTCCATTTCTTCCAAAGGAAGACTATTTCTGCTCTCCACTAACGGTGGAATCCGTGAAGCCAAAAAGCAAATGAAATCAGCAAGGCAACGCTGACGAGCACTCAGAGATCATCACCATTCCCTCAGGGCACCTTACCCGGGTGTCATAGCAGAGTCCCGTTTCTACAAACTCCTGGGATTTAATAGCCTCCCGCTGCCAGCGGAGCTTGAAGTTCCGTGTGTCCATCTCCCTGAGTGCACTAAACAATGTTTTTCTTAAGACGAGGTCAATATCTTCAATACCCCACATGTACTGTGAAGCAGCATGCATGAGGCAATTTCCATCACCTGCAAAAAAAAGAAAGAGTATGTTATTTTTAAATGGCAATTTAAATAAAACCCCACAAGTGCACGGGATATAGAATTATGCTGCACATATGCATATTCCCTGTGTGCTTCTCTCTAAGCCTTGGACACAAAGGTTTTAACAAGACTACAGCTATGAGCTCTCTGCTCAGAGATAGAAAGGAAGTAAGTCCCCTCTCTACTGGTTTTGTCCCTTCCCCAGTTGGTGTTAAGCTGTCATTCAGTAATGGTGGGAAGCCTGCTCCTTATCTATCTTACTTAACTTTGACTGATATCATGAACTAAATTTTGGGGTCAACTGCAAATATTAGACAGTTGAAATAGCTCTTAAACACAACAAAGTCAACTTAAAATTACAAAAGAATGTGTAAATCTCCCTCATCAGTGTTTATACAAGTACACCTGATGGCACAGGGTAGACGTAATGGAAACCACTAAGAACACACTATAGTAACACCAAGCCTCACATCCCCTGATGAGCACTGCATTGAAAGGCTTGGCACTTGGCTGTGCTTGAACTGTAATAAAAAAAAAAAAGTCAGAAAGAGAAGAGTAGGTGATTTATGCAAAGCAACTGTACAAACACCTCTTGCCATCCTCTCAGAACTGATAGTATGCTGGGCTGTTAAATATTTTATTTAGAGGGTTGTTCTTCTAAAACCCCAAATTAAAACTAAATAAATGAAAAGCATAATGATTTGGTTTTCATTTAGACACACTCCTTGCATTGAAAAAGTCCTCTTTACTCAACAGGTAGGAAGGAAAGAGATGTTCTGCAATTTCAGAGGGGAAGAAACTGAGAATCAGAGGAGTTAATTAACTTAATTAACAGGTGTGACAAACTAGGCCTATGGCTGGGTTTCAAATTCTATCTCTAGCCATCTTCTTCAAAAGCAGATGTCTCCCCTGAAAGGAAGACATCAAGAATCACTACTGTCATATCCTCAGATTCAAAACTAGGTCTGGTGTTTACTACAGTGGTAAACAGATTCACTCAATGCTAAGAAACCACAGCAATTTCCATGGAATAGAGTACATCAACCATACTACTATATTTTTCTCATGTGGGGGAAAATAACACCCAAGAACCTCCAGAAAATATCTAAATCCAGTTTGCTGCATGCATTATGAGCTCAAGTACACCTTTTGTGAACACTCTTGCTACTTTTTCTATGAAACTGCAGAGAAAAAACCTACAACAGACCCCAGATCCTGAAAAAGATCTGATCTGAAATATGCTTAACGTTTCATAAATTGCCACGGACTCAGTGCATATCAGGTTCCTGCAACTGCCCTCTGAATGTTGTCTTGCAAAGCTTGCTTCAAGTCTGCAGGCTCCTTACTTGAGCTCAAAAATCAGGGAACACCATATAAGACTGAAAGACTGACTGGGTTTCCTTCTGACCAAGAAAGATGACATATTAATCCTGTTAAAATTTTCCCTTTGCAAAATCTAGAGCAAAGATAAGATTTTTTTTTTTTCCCTCTCTCTCCGAGAGCTCATTTTCAGTTCTTTATTGAGAAGCGCTGCCCAAAATTCCTTACACAGCACTTGGAATTCCCCCGCGACGTTTGACTAGCAATTGAGCAACAGTTGTACTTTTTGTTCTGCGGCTCACGGGGCTGAGCAGCAAAGCCTCCCTCGGACTTTCCCGGGGGGTGTGGCTGGGCGAGCTGGAATGAATGCCGATTCATTGTACAAGTGAAATCTCTACAGCCAATAGATGATGGAATTTAAAAATATTTTTTATTAAAAAAAAAAACCAACAAAACCAGTTTCGATTTTTATACCTCCTACTGCTTTCCTTCTATCCGCCATTCGCATATTTGCAAAGAAATGTGTGGTGATTCAAAAGGGCTTTTTCAATTAAAAACCCCACACCACCCTACAAACCCATGTACATATTAAACAAATTATACATCAAAAGTTCCTATAGGAAATACTTTCTCCGTTTTCAAAAATTACAACCTTCATCAGAAAAAAACCCAGAGTTTTCTGAAGTAAGCCCACCATTGGCCAAAAGAACTAATATATTCCTCCCACATCTATGGGTTAAGCAGCTAAATGGTTTAAAAAATATTCTTCATGCTGTGTGGGAGAAAAAACCCCAACATGTTATTTTCTGGGATAATACAGGGCTTCTCCAAGCTTCTATCTCTTCTTTCAGGGATCCTCTCCTTCAGTTCAGTCTACCTTCTCTCTCCTGCAAAGGTCCCAATCTGCAACTACTTTGCATAAACCACCAGATCCCAAAGCCACTCCTCCTACTCATGCACTGAATGACCTCAAAGCACTGAACTGAAGCCGAGTTCATTGGCTGCGCGGGGTACAGGGGCACCACAAACCAAGCCCTTGCTTTGCCTTCCCTCAACCTGCCCTAATATTTCAGCATCCTGGTAGGACTGCTCACGGATGGGATCCAAGTCCCCAGTCCACAAATCGTTCCCGTTTGTAACACTGGCCGACAGCCACAAGACAATGCAAGTCACAGCTATTGAATACAGTGGTGTCAGCAACAAGGGCCTGTCCAGGCAGCGTTAACCCCTGCAGGACTCATATTACCAGGAGATGAGGGATTCCAAAACCATTTCTCTTTGCCCTGGGCAAAAATTATGCACGTTGTCCATTTTCCTAGTAAATCTGTTAAGAGCATACCTCCTGGAGTGAAGTTTTGAAGACTCAACACTTGGAGTGACGTTACTTTCCTAGTACCTGCAAAGCACTGCCGGCCCTATCTGCAACTCCAGTCTTCTGGAAGTTCAAGATTACATGATCTCCATGAACAGCGTAATTACAGTCATGAGAATTTTACGCACGTGCAAAAGCCCACCAAAAGGTCAGTGCCTCTCTGGCAATTACAGACACACATATTAGGATCAGGCTCTTCTAGGTCACGGCAGTGACATCTACACGGTGGTTCTGTTTTTACGGCTTTTGCACAAGACAGCCATGTGCAATCAGACTGAGAAGTATGGTAGAACTTGGGAAGGCAAGAATGTGGACTAGGAAGATAAGGACAATGTGTATATAAACAGATATGAAAAGAAGCATCCACAGAACATAATGTAAAGACTTCAACGAAGCTGCAGGCCCACCACACCTACTGTTTCTATAACCAGTGTCATCTGCTCCTTGAGCAAAGAATATGTATTTTCCATGTTCCTGGAGTCCTCACTGTCCCAGTCTATCTTGCCAGTTTGGGGCAATCTGTGCTGTAGGGAATCCTGAGTCCAAGTCTGCAGCTGCGTGACCGTAAGTCATAGCCATTACCGGATCTTTCCTCCGCTGCATGCGAAATGCCCAGCGACTCTTACAGTCACGTGCAAAAGTTTCCTGCTTGAGACTGTGGACACACGTACACTATTCAGGAAATCTTTGCACTACTGCTGTACCTTCTAATTCATAGCGTTTGATGCAATACACACAAAGTAACCCTAAAGCCAAGTCCTAAAACCAGCACCGACCCATGAAAGAAAAGGACACTGCAAACTTTGTGTTGCACAAAGACGGCTGTCAGTGACACACGCGGGAGTTACTGGTGAGCCCTGAGGGGGGGCAAGAGCTGCCAAACCCCAGCAGGTAGCTGAGGACCAGGGAGCTGGCTGGGTGCGGGGCGCTGACCCCAGGGCCAACAAGGTCAGCTTCCCAGAGGCTGCACGTCCAGGATGCTGCCGCTGGCACCACTGTTAAAGCTGGGTCAGCAAACGAACCTTGCCTGCCAGCTACAACGGCAGGGCTTATGGGAGGATATTAACTTCTGCTATATATACATGGGAATGCATCCCCGTCACTCAAAGCATCCGAAGTCTCCTCTTGCCTGGCATTAAAGGCCATTTGGCATTTCCGATGAGGCAGCCGACACACAGCAGAGTCAGATTCACAGAAAGGCGATGGGTTGCAAGTCAAGGTTCCCGCCTGGTATTTTACTCTGACGTGCCATATGTTACTGATATTACGAAAGTATCTGTGAAATTTTCAGGCTATTCATAATACTGTGATATGGGCAGGGGACTGCTACAGCCTCAGGACAGTACATCATGTGGAAAGAATTTAAGTTTCCAAAACTAAGATTAAAAGGCACCACTTTTTTAAAGCCATGCGCTTCTGCTTCCGTAACGTGAACTCAGATGCTATTAATAATGCTACCTTCGTATTACCCGTTTTAATGCGAGTGCAAAGACCTGCTCATAACTTACCATTAGTCTTCAAAGGGACAAGTCTCCGAACTTCCATGCACCAGTTGAGCTTCCTCTGGCGCTCCAGCGAAGCCTGGGTGGCCTGGTCAGTCAGGGCCTTCTGAAGTGTTTCCCGAAACTGAGGGCAAAACTGGCACATTCTGAACATTTCTATGGTATATCTGTGCATAGTCCTGAAATGGTGAATTATTCCACTGGGGGGTTTGACCAGATCTTCAGGTGTCCTCTCTCTAATCTTCATGGCTTTCAGCATATTGCTCTGATACAAAGCTTGAGGAAGGATGTGTTGGCCAGCCATGTTTCTGGAAGACAAATGAAAAAGGATCCTTTTATTGGCATGTTAGTGTCCTTGCATCACAGTGCTACCACTTCTGCAGAGATTGAGAAGGCACTTTCAGGGGTGGGATTCTGGCTGCAGTTTTGCCTAAAATGAGCACAGAGTGGATGCAGTCCACTGAGCCTTAAATAGATGATGGATTTCAAAGCTCATATCCATTAGCATCTCTGCATTACTCAGTTATAGATAATGACCAACTTATTCCAATCATTTACTGTTATCATTTACTGAAATATTAAAGAGAATTTATTTATAACCAAGGAAATTGCATCATCATTCCCCCCCCCCCCCAAAAAAAAAAGCATTTAAATCAAAGTAAGGATAAAAGAAGGCAAGATCAAGGGAAGGGAAAATTATCCTGGAAACTTGACTAATTGATAATTGCACAGTGTAATCCCATATGAACTCGCTGAACTTTCAGCACGTTTCAAGCTCTTGTTCTGATGACATGCCAAAAAAAGCAGATAATGACCATTTCAGATTTCCGCAGCCCATACATTCTGAGAAGTGATGCTTGGTACAGTACAAAAAGAACCCCAAGAATTACATGCCATGCTAGTATCTGTCCCATACTTACGGTGGCTGAAGATGGCAAATGAGGAATTTGTAGCAGAGCAAGTACTCAAGGACAGACTTATGTTACTCTGCTTGAGGCTCCTTATATTTTGTGAGTGGTAGAGCTACTGCACAGAGGCGCTTGTGCCGTGTGTGGGGGTGCAGGCTGCAGTGCTGCTATTACTCAGCGGTAAGTCAACATAGCTGAAAAAGCATTTCCACTTGGCTCAAAAACCCCAATATTTTTCCACAGTGGGAGATGTAATGTTTGCTGCCCTGCATCCCTTTCTTCAGTATCTCTGGCCTCATAGGCTACAGCAGGAAGAACAAAAAAACCCCATAACCTCAAACTGTCTACGCTCTCTGAAATACTTATTCAGAGCATACTAACTCTGTGGCTTAGGGTCAAATGTAGGGACCGCATCCCTTAAAACTCCCATGTGCTACGGTAACACCACCAACACACTATTTTTACACAGAGAGACTCTCTGTGCTGTTCATGTACTTTATTGCTCTGTTTAAAAACTAAGCAAAATTTCTATTAAGACAAATAAAGGTATGCATGCCTAATATGTTTAGGCTACAGCTGGTCACATTAGGAGACCCCACCATTGTGACTATTAATCTAGGAACAAATATCAAGCCATAAGTACATATCAAGGTCTGGATATATACCTTGCCAAGTACAGGGAGACAAGAAGCAACTGAAAACGGATTTATGCAACTATTGGGAAGTTTTCTTATGGGGATGGGAGTCTGGAGGGCCAGCAAGAGGAAGAAGGACTACAATCTGACAGACTGACGGAGGGGCTCCCAAATCTGTGGAGGCAGAAGACCCCTCTGGCACAGAAGGACTTAAGCACGCCCTTCCCCACAGGGAACCAGCTGCTCTCTCCTCTTCACCCAGACACTTCCAATGGCGACATCCGCCTCCAGCTGCCCAGCTGGAGCACTGGAAAGGACCTTGCCAGGGTAAGAGAGGGGTCCTCAAACTCCTGCTGCCAAGAGCTGCCCTCTACAACCTCTCTCAGACCCAGCTGATGGAGAGATTCAGTGGATGTCCTGTCAAGCCCTAAATAGAAGCAGGTGAAACTCGAGATGCTGCAACCTCCTTTCTGCTCAGTCAGTGCAATGTCATTCACACAGTTTCCTCTGCTCCTGTAAGAGCATGAGGGACAGGGCTCAGAGCGGTCACATCTTGCAATGCATGGAAAGGCTTTCCTCTAACTAATAATGATGGCGTATTCTTATCATTCCCCCACCAACATACAGCCTTAAAATGGCAATAACACACTTTCTCATCCACTCCCCCCACCAATATAGTTTTACACATGCTATTTATGTTATCCTATATTTAAATGTATGGATGATTTCAGAAATTAAATATAAACAACCCCTCGTTCATCTGTTTAATAAACACAGCTATACTTTGCTCTGAGATGACCAAAATACTGAATTCCTTACTTATGTAAGTAGAGCTATTGAGTCAATGGGATTTTTTTTTACATGAATAAAGATTAATCACATGATTAAGCACTACTAGCATGGACCCCTGAAATGGTTATTTCCAGCTTTAAGTAACAAAAAGTACTGAGTTTACAGAAGCATTCACTGAAACTACTTTATTCAATATTATTTTCTAGAGGCATATTTTCCCCTCCACACATGGAAATTACTGTCTCTGCTATTTACGGTATTAAATGTCAAGCAAGGCAAAAGCTGAGCAACCCTTATTTTCAAAACCAATGCAATGAAACAAACAGAACTCAATAGCCACCTAAGCCAGAGATTTAAAGAACAGAAAACTCAGCTACAATTATGTTTACACTGTACTGTGCTTTACCGTACGCTATACTATTTTAACCTTTAGACATGTAGTGACTACGAATTCTCAGAAAAGAACAGCTGTAAACAATGACTAAACAGCTATCTGAGGCAGCATCCTTTCTGAACATGTAATGCTGAGGATGCTGGGCTTGGGAAAGCTGAATACTGTTCTGAGATCTGCCAGTGGCTTCATAAAGTTATTTTAATTTTATGTCCTCTAGCTGAAAAATCGCAATAATAAACTTTTCCGTAAAGTGCAAAGACAATGCTAAAATAAGCACGCTTAATACACCTTCAGCACCCATTGACTTCTATGCCTGGGTCTCTGTCAGAGTGCTTGGTACAGAACTGAGCATATTATCACTCTTTACCAAGGAAGAAGATGAGGGTTGAGGGTGGTTTACACGGCTTAGTTCATTAACCTACTGCTCTGCTGGAAGCATGTGTATGCAAGGTGGAAACGACAGCC